AAGAGTCGCAGGAGGTGATGGACGAGGTGGAGGAGGAGGAGGGGGAGGAGAGTGAAAATGATATTGATGATAATATTGATAATATTGACGATGATATTAGTGATACCGATGACGATGACGACGACGAGAGATACGCACCTAACGATTATGAAGGTAATAATATTTGTCTATTATATTTTTAATTCCGTAATTTATTGTTCTAATCACAAGTAATTATTTCTGATTAGATGTTTCTTACTCGCCGGTTCAACCTTTGTCTCTGGAAAATTAATAAGAGACAAAGATTTAAAAAAAGAACGCCGACCTACGCTAGTGATAAAAGCAACTAAAGGTGAGTTACCTTTAGTATGCTCTATCGCTGTCGTGTAAAAATTTTAACTTTTTAAACGTAATATAAATCAATATTATAGAAGACTAACAATAAGTTTTTTAATTTTTAGTACAATCAGGTGGTGGTGGTGCAAACCAACCTGCTGCTGATGCCGACAATGCCGTTGATACACAAACGCAGAGGTGGAGGAGGAGGAAAATACCTCCGTGGATAGGGAGCAAGAGAAACATCAGGAGTAGGCACGTCAGCAGGATCACCATCAGCACCAGCAGCATCACCAGGTCGGACAATTTAATTTTATAGATTTAGTGGCAGAAAACGCGCGACAATTTAGAAATTTCCGGATACTCGGTAGGGAGGCCAGTTTTCGAGTACGTCCGATACCCGAAGGCGACGATACCGTGCGTTGGCTAGAAAACGCGTTCCGCGAAATTCACGCGTATGCGTTATGTTCTACTGGGCTAGGAGATTACGTTCGATTATCGTTCGAGTCGGCGGAACTAACGCACGGTCCGGCGGGGCTATCGTTTCGCCCAGCACGAGACTTAACACCCGAAAACATATGGGATCTCATAAGCTCGGTAGCACAAAGTAACGGGGGAATTGATATCGCACAAAATTTCGTCGAGCGCGTTTTAAAGGTTGCGATGCCAGTGGGGCGTGGGGGTGCGACGAACAGGTTAACCGCCATCACTAAGCGGTCAATTTTAGATCTCGGTAATAAAGATAACTTGTGCCTCCTTCGTTCCCTCGTACTGACACGAATTTATCGCGAGCGCGGAAATCTACACACGGGAGTGCTGCACGACAGGTGGAATACCGTAAGATGTCGGACTTCCGCGCTGCAGCGTGAATTAGCGTTGGAACTAGTGAAGAACGCCGGTGTTACGATACCCGAAGACGGTGCGGAATTTTCGAGGTCACACGTTTTCAACGTTTTCTCGCAAATGAAAATATAGCCATAATTGTATATAATTCCAGCAACTTTCGTAGCAGTGAGAATATCCTTTGTACGACGGTAGTGAATTACTCGCTTCGTTAGAACGCGAACCCACGTGCCGTTTAAATATAATGTATTACAAGTGTTCGCACCATTACAATCCGATATTAAATTTGAATGCTGCCGCCGGTACTCAAAAAGAATTTTGTATGTCGTGCAACACTGCGTATCGTAAAGACAGAGGACATCGTTGTTCCAAAAAATGTCCGCGTTGTTACGCCACACTCTCGTGCGAGAATCCCGAAGTAGAAACTGTTAAGTGCGCAGCGTGTAATCGTGCGTTTTTCGGAAACTCGTGTTTCGAACGTCATCTCGCGCAAAAATCTTACGACGGTAAATCGCTCGCAAGCGTCTGCAGTTCCGTGAGGATTTGCGATAATTGCGGGCGATTCGTCAAGAGAGGTTCGCGACATGAATGCGGCGTTTCGTATTGCAAGACGTGTTGTTCGTTGCAGTCCGCTAATTATTTATGTTTTATGCGGCCTTTTCGACGTAATGCCGACGTAAACGAAGACCCGGGCGAAGGTACGAGTAATACGTTGGCACGTAGAGAGGCATCGCTTGGAAACGAAAAGGTCGGCGCGGATGCAACAAACAAACGTAGCAAAAAAGAACGCGTCGCATTCGTGTTCTATGATTTCGAAACGCATCAAGACGAGACGCTCGAAGGTACTTACGGAGAACGTCAAAGTTGACGTATCGACTCTCTGCGTCGCGCAACAGATTTGCGAAACGTGCGCCGCGATAGACGACATGTCGGTGCGATGCCGTTGGTGCGGAGTGCGCGAGTTTATATTTCGTCGCGATCCTGTAAAAGAGTTCGTCGATTTTGCAACGCAAACGACAAAATGTTACAAAAAAATTATTTGCGTCGCGCATAATGCGAAAGCGTTCGACGCACAATTTATTCTGAAGTATTTAGTCGAAAATACGGAAAAGACTGACGAACCACAAGTAATTTTAAACGGAACGAAAATTGATGACGGTCGGACATACAAAATTTATCAATAGTTTAAATTATCTGCCAACGAAATTATCCGAATTACCTAAAGCTTTCGGGCTGCAGGATACATCGGATAAAGGCATTTTTCCACATTTGTTTAACACCCGCAAAAATCAAAATTACATCGGTCCGATACCCGACACACGATATTTTTCTCTCGAGCATATGAAAGCGGAAGAACGCGAACGGTTTCTTTCGTGGCACGCGGAGATGACGCGTAACAACTTCATTTTTAATTTTCAAAGTGAAATTATTAAATATTGCCGTAACGACGTGGATATTTTTCGACGCGCGTGCATGGCTTTCAGAAAAATTTTTTTGGAAGGCGGAAACGTGTGTCCGTTCAATGAATGCACGACTATCGCTTCCACGTGCATGAGAGTTTTTCGCAAAAACTTTCTGCACAAGTAGGAAATAGGAATCATTCCGACGGGAGGATATAGATTCGTCGATAATCACTCACGTAAAGCTCTACAGTGGTTAGTGTGGATGGAACACGAACTCGGACATCCCATAATTCACGCAGGGCGAGGGCGTGAGCATAAAATCGACGGCGCGTTGACGGATATTACGAGACGCCGACTAATGACGACGACGACAACGAGACGCGACGTTACGTACTACAATTTCACGGTTGCTTTTTGGCACGGACGTCCCACATGTTTTCAAGTGAATCGCGATAGAATGCATTTGACCGCGTCGACCGCGAATCGCGAGGACACGATCGACGCGCGCTACGAACGAACACTCGCGATGACATGTCTCCGAAGGAGGGGGTACCTCGTGACGAAGATGTGAGAGTGCGCTTATCTAGAAAATCATCCATTACTGAAACACGCGCCTCTCGATATCCTCGCAACGCGTTTTACGGAGAACGCACGGAGAACATCGCCACCCAACGCGAAATTCGGGGTACGGTGAAAATACGTTACGTGGACGTATGCTCTCTGTATCCGTACGTATTGAAAACCGGTGCTTTTCCGATCGGTTACCCCGATATTTTTATCGGTGAAGAATGCCGAGCGTTAATTGGAACTGCACCGAATTATAATTTTGATTTGATCGAAGGTCTTATCCGATGTCGAGTACTTCCACGCGCGATCTTTTTCACTCGGTACTCCCATATCACGTACGCGGAAAATTATTGTTTGCGTTATGCCGTAGCTGCTGCGATACGTTCTCGCAGGCCGCGTATCGTGAATTTGAGGGTACTTGGGTATCCGTCGAATTGCGCAAAGCCGTCAAGAAGGGATATCGCGTGACAAATGTGAGCGAAATATGGCAATATAAAGTTGCGCGATATGACCCCGGTACTCGGCAGGGCGGTTTGTTTGCCGAATACATAAATACATTTTTAAAACTTAAAACAATAAGCTAATGGGTGGCCGAGCGATTGCCATAATGACGAGACGAAAAAACGATACCTGCGAGAATACGCGGAAACCGAGGGTGTTATTCTCGATAAGAACAATATCGTCCGGAATCCTGGCCTGCGCTCGGTCGCGAAACTCTGTTTAAATTCTTTCTGGGGGAAATTCGGCCAGCGAACCAATTTGCCGAAGACTGAGGTCGTGAAATCTTGTCAGCGTTTCATGACTTTCCTCACGAGTCCCGAACACGAGATAATCGACATATTACCCGTCAACGACGAGGTGATATATGCTTCGTGGTGGCTACGAGAAAAGGCCGTCGTGGCTTCCCCGTTGGCAAATGTCGTGATCGCGGCGTACACAACGACACAAGCGCGCTTAAAACTATACAAATATTTAGAAGCATTAAATAGGCGCGTTTTATATTACGATACCGACTCTTGTATATATTTAAGTACAGACGATCCGAACGAGTACGAACCGCGTACCGGTAACTTCCTCAGCGACATGACGGACGAACTCGAGAGCTACGGCCGCGGCAGCTATTGTATATCGAGTCGTTCGTGTCGGGCGAACCAAAATTCTACGCTTATATTGTTCGTACACCGGACGGACGTACTGTAGAGTCGTGTAAAGTAAAAGGTATTACTTTAAATTATAGGAATTCTTTAGTTGTAAATTTCAATAGTATTAAAAACTTAATAATACAAAGAGAGAGAAATAGGGTAGTGGAGGGGAAGAGTGAGGAGGAAGAGGAGACGGAACGTCGTCGGCGGGAACGTCGATAAATCTGCGTTTTAGTGCAATTCGGCTCACCGCGTTTCACGAAATTATAACTCGCGAAGAAACGAAAACGTGTATTGGTAAAACGTAGATTTATCAATATATGTCGAAAAGCACTAAAAAAATACTAGCGTACCAAAAACTTATCGCGCGAATGCTCACTTACTGTTAAAGTATTTGTTCGATAAAGCAGTTCCGAGTAAAATTAGCTGGAACAAAGACATGGAGTCGTGACTATAGACAGCGTTATAAAAGATTCGAATATCGACGACCTGATAAACGAGGCTATGCGCGAAAGAAAAACCGTGAAAGCAACGGGGAGACTTCAGTTCGCACGATTACTTCGCGTCTTAAACGTCCCCTCGGTACTAGTGAAATTAAGGAATTATTAACCGCTAGTTTTTCGAATATCGCGACATTTCGACCTCCCAGGAGTTCCACACCGACAGAGACACCGAAAAGTACCGTTGATTGAAGAAAAGACGCTTACTCGATCGATTGGAGTAAACAGAAATGACGGAACTTGAAAAATTCTACTACGATCCGCGACATTACGCGGGCTATTCGGCAACGGATAATCTGACGCGCGCCGCTAAACCGAATTTCTCCCGTAACAAAGTCACGCGTTGGCTCGAAACGCAAGACGCTTACACGTTGCATCGTCTATCGCGCAGAAAATTTCCACGGTTGCATTACACCGTGTCGAATATCGACGATCTGTGGGAGGCCGATTTGATCAAGCTCCGAAATCTCGAAAGTTACAACGACGAATATTTGTATCTTTTGGTGATTATAGACGTACTTATTAGTAAATATGCCTGGATAGAACCGCTACGAGACAAAACGAGTAAGCACGTGACGACGGCTTTCCAGCGCGTGCTCTCGAAAAGCGACGGGCGCGTACCAGTATACTTACAAACGGATAAAGGTAAAGTATTTATCGGGCGTCCGTTGCAAAAGTTTTTGGAAGAAAACGACATTTGTTTTCACGTGGCCCGTAATCCGGATATCAAAGCTGCCGTCGTCGAGCATTTCAACAGAACGTTGAAGGAGCGAATGTGGCGTTATTTTACGCAGAAAAATACGCGACACTACGTCGATGTTTTGCAGGATATTGTAAGCGCTTACAATCACACCCGCCATTCTTCCATCAGAATGCAGCCGCCTGTCGTTACGAGAGAAAACGCTCGTGTCGCGCGCGAAAATATAGTTCGGCGATGGAGGAAGAGCGAAAAGATGAAACGCGCACAAAAAGCTAAATACGTCGGAGAACTTGTTCGCGTCAGTAGAACAAAAGCCACCTTCGAGAAAGGATACGAGGCGAGGTGGAGTGAAGAGATATTTCGAATTCACCGCGTTCTCGAGTGGCGAAAACCACGCGTGTACGAACTGAGCGATTTAGCGGATGAGGTCATAGACGGTATTTTTTACGAACAGGAATTAGCTAGAGTTGAGAAAAACTTGCGGGAAGAAGAGTTTATCGTCGATCGCGTGATAAAGACCAGAGGACGTGGCGCTAATAAACAGGTGTTAGTTAGCTGGCGCGGTTATCCCAGCAAGTTCGACACTTGGATCCCCGCTTCGAATTTAACTTCTTTTCAAGATGAGGAACGACCAATTTCTCATGGTTCTTCCGAGCAATAGCAAGTATGCGCTATTTTCCGGAAAATAGAACCTCGTCATTTGTTACGGAATTACCTCAAACTGTTCACTTACACGGCGATTGGAAGTCGCACTTAGCGAGATTCAATTTTCCAGTACTTCTTCACACGTACGCGTTCTTCAATATAAAATCTTCTTCTTCGATACTAAACCAGGGGAGAAAGAAGCACAGGTGGCGCGGAAAGGCACATTATTTTGCAGCGTTTACAAAAATATCAGAGACCTTATTTCGGCGATTAATACCGCATGCAAACAAGCTGACTCGCACTTTTATTTGGATCAACATGAACAGACCGAAGGAAAAATTGTCCGCATTAGCTGTAACGCAAGTGAATGCGATCTGATACATCATATGAGCGTTTCCGATACTCTTCTACAAATACTCGGTTTAGGACATGCTCTTCTCAATACTACCGAATACTACGGTGATTACTGCGCTAAGCTCGACGCAATTTATCCTATTTCCAAAAAAGTGTTTACAGCGACTTATATTAGACTTGGTTTTATTAACGAAAAAACCGGTGTGCGCGAAGCAGGTTTCTATAGTCAAGAACCATGTAGTTTGCAGCGCGGTATTCCAGATAAAATGTTCATTTATTGTGATATTTGCGAGCCTTATGTAACAGGTGATGTACAAACTCCTCTTCTCCGAATAGTGCCGGTCGAGACATACGGATACCCCCGGACTCATGAACGCACTCGTAGATTCGGAAACACCAAATCCGTCTCTCGTGAGGCGCGCTTGTTACATTCACGAGGGACACGCGTTAGATCTTATAGGTCATCTTCATTGCGACGTTTTTAATCAGGATAAATTTTTAATTAACGGTGTGGAAGTTAGAATAAGACTCGTTTGTTCGAAAGATTCGTTTTGCCTTATGGAAAATACTTCAACGTCGAAAATATGCATTCTAGACGCCAGTCTGCTCGTGAGAAGGGCAAAAATAAGTCCAGGCGTTTTACTCACGCATGCGAGAATGTTGAGCAAAACTACC